TAAATGTTTCTATTTTTGGGTTCACCAACAATCATTTCCAACAAGATTCGTAAAAAGAAATCGTTTTTTTTCTTTTTTTTTTTTTTAAGTTTTACCTAAATCATCATAAATTTTCCTTCAATCTCCTTACTTTCTATTTCTATTTTTTCCTTTCAAATGAAAAAAAAAAAGGTAAAGTGGAAAATATAAAAAATAAAAGACAGTCATTGTTACATAATTTAAAGAAACTGTGTAAATATCGGTGAATAAAAAAATTAGAAGAATACGGTTTTCTAAGATCCTTTGAACTTTTTTAGGGTCGTGAAATCAATGTGTATTTTCATTTTTTTTTTCTTTTCTTTGCCGCGATGCAAACAAATAATACACAGGCAGCTCGGAACACACATACAAATTTTTTCTTTTCTTCTACCGTCCTTTTTTTTTCTCTCAACAAGTTGCTAGAATTTTGATCTATTCATAAAAAGAACAGATTAAATTCTAGTGAGCATTTTATTGCTAAAGAAACTTTTTTTTTTTTTTTTAACGAACACTGCAATGAATCTTGTCGATCAATGATGATCTATTTTAGTTTGTCAAATTCTGAATTTTTTTACTCTTAAGAAAGATTGAATTTTATGAGACCTCACAAAAGACTAGTGTCGGCAAGTGTTAAGGATACAAACCTAACCTCACAAGAAAAAAAAGGATCATAAGGATTACCTTTACAAGGACTGACCTCTTAATTTTATATTTTTATTACTTCGGGTAATTTCATTATAGAAACTTTAGAGGAAAAAAGAAACCTTTTTTCGGAACAATAAACGAACGAACGAAATATAAAACGTAACCAGATATTTACAGAAGACGATTTTATTAATCTTAACATAACAAATCTTTAGATTTCACCGCTTTTCTCAAAGATCCGACAAAGTTCGCTTCTTCAAAAGAAAAAATTCTTTTACAAACGTTTGCCGAAATATTTCAAATTCTATGTTAAACTGTTGAATGATATTTTGTAAAAAAAAATTGATTGGACAATAAATTCTTGGAATTAGAATGTTTCGTATCTAACACGTTGTGGAAGTGTCTCTTTTAAATTGAAATTATGATCAATATTGTAGTTAATGGAGTATAGAAACTATCATTAAACATCGATAGATGTATACTAAGCAATATCGATATATACTATTCGACCATTAATACTAGTATGTAAACGTAATCGTGTATTTGTCCCTTGTGTGCCATCGATCGTCATGACAATCCTCCTAGCTTGCCAACTATGAGATTAATACTTCCATGATGTTTGGTTTATATGTCCCATGTATATTTACTTATAGATGTACATATATACAACGAAAATGTGAGAACCTACTAGTATCTATAATATTGTATAGACACATATACATGTGTAAATTGTAAGGATAGTTTATTGGGGGTAAAATTGTCCAAATTCTGGGATCTAAAATTCCCCAAAGAGAAAATGTCATCGTAATAAAAACTAATAAATAGAATCAATACAAATAACAAGAAGAAAAATATCTAGATTACTTTATTAAAACCGGTCTGGTAACCTACACTACAAACATATTTATTAAATTGCTGAGTTAATATTACTACCAAGATTTCAAACGTGCTTCTGTAATACGTTAGAAATATTTAACAAAATAAAAAAGAAAATATTCGAATATAACCAATGAAAATGATCCTCAAATGAATTATTTATCCTCCTTGTCAATATTTTATCATTCCTTATATATCTGATAATTACATGTGTTTGATAATATTATTCAACATTTCTTCTATTAGAAAATAATTTTCTTTTTACAACATACGCGTCGAAATAATTATATATATTTATTATTTAGTTTTATTAAACATAATAATAACGTTAAAATGTTTTTTTTTTTTTTTAATATTGCGTTAAAAAAGAAATCGACAAGAATTTTATCGATTATTCCATAGCACAAAAAATAAATAAAACATGAAATTTTTTATATCTCGCACACTTGTTTCAGAAACAAGTTTTATAAAGATAAACATTAGTATGCATTTACGAATAAATACTTTAATACATATATGTGTATGTGTAGACCTATACATGACGTAAAAATAAACGAATACAAATATACTTATTCGAGTTGTCAACGATTTTTACACAAGTGATATACAACAGTAGCATGAGAGAGCGTGTAACTCATAAACCTAAATTCGTCGGTTGGCATCGACTTTCGAACATAATCGGTTCGACTCGAACTACCAATCGATACTCTTAATTCTTTCTTTCTTTTTTTCCTTTTATGTCTTTTTTTATTTTCTTTTTTTTTTTTTTTTGTTATTTTTCAAATGACCGTAACACTCAACGACAAGATTAAATACACGTTTTCACCTTGTTTCGATTCCTACGACACGATCTCATAATCTGAACTCGTGATATGCGTGTTAAGCTCGTGCGAAACTATCTAGCAGACAGTTTTGACTAGTAGTTTATTACCTTTAAACCCGTTCCTCATTTCTTTTCTTTTTTCTTATCACAGTACATAAATTCAATGATTTAAAAAAAAAAAAAAAGAAAAAAAAAAGAATGACACATTCCTAATCGTATTTGAATGTTCAAAACGAAAGAATAATAGTAATTAACATTTCGATACTAAAGGAAACGATTTAAAAAATATTATCTCTCTACCGATCCTTTTTTTTTTGTATCTTCTTTTCGAAAAAAAAAATCCTCCACTCGATTCTAATATCCGTCAAATTCTGTGGGTTTCCCCTTTTCACGAGGATCGTGTAAACGGTCGTCGAGACAGATGTTAGCTGAGTGAACTCGGAAAACTGAAGTGGAGAGGAAAAGATACCTCATCGAGATCGATTAAAGCATAATTAGGTCGCTAGTAGGATCGTCACGGTCCAAAAGGCGGGAAAATCTTTTATTTCTAACACACAAAAAAGCGATCGTAAAATTTCTAAACTTTAATTTGACCAACTCGATCACTAGGTATGAAATGAAATATCATCCAATTACGAATCTTCAATTCCGTATTTTTTCGAACTAGGACTGACTACTACTACCCAACGTCTGCCCCCTTTAGAATAATCATAAAAGGAAAGAAAAAAATCCTCAAAAAATAAACCATTCAAAAAAGAAAAAAGAAATCTCAAAGAAGTGAATAGAAAAAATAATGTAAACTGGATCGCAATAAAATTAAATCTCACAATCATAAATATATATATATATATACTTATTCTACTTCGATCTAATATTTTTAGTTTTACATTATTGAAAAAAGAAGTAAAGAAATACGAAGCAACTCTATAAAAGGACCTTTTTTTCTTCTACCACTTTCACAAATTTCCCCTATTAGTCGCCTTTTACGACAAACAGGGATAACTATGGAACTATTCTTACCCCGGTTCCACACAGGGTTCCAAATATTATTATTATTATTATTACTAACAGTAAATCTCATCTGTAAATCATCCATTTTTTCCTGAAACAAAGACGAAACCTATTTCCGTAATCTATTATTTCTATTTACAAAAAAAATCGAACAGACTAATATCATTTCATTATTATTATTATATTATTATTATTATTATTATTATTATTATTATTATTATTATTATTATTATTATTATTATTATTATTATTATAATGAAAGGTTGATTTCTTATTCCGTAAGAAACATATGAGATTGATGAGGAATGGTATCACAAATAAATTGATCCAAATGAAATGAAAAAAAAAAAGTAAATTGTAAATGTAAAATGTAAGTGAAGAAAGCGTCAATAATCGTTAACGCCGATTAAACAATAAAATGCAAAATCTTCCTGCGAACGACGTTTTGTTGCGTTTGAGAAAAAGGGGACCGCACGCACGCACGCGCTCTGACACCTACGGCGAGGAGAACATCAATCAAAATTAAGGCCTGTATTCATAGATCGATGCTCGAGATCTTGCTACACACGAACGAACGAACGAAAGTCAGACTTCCTTCTTACATCGTGTTCTTTCTAATTCACTGAGATATATTTCTTCTAACATAAGTATTATACTAACTTAGTTACTAATACACTTGTACACTAACTCTCGTTTATTCATAAATTCTACTTTCTTCATTTACCGTGCCTTCTAATTAATGTAACTAACGATAATCAAAGTGTTCAACAAATTATTGAAGCGTTAACGTAAATTTGTTTAAATTTATATATACATATATATATAATGCAATATAATACTTCCTTTGCTTATTGTGTCTTATATTTCTTGTATTTTTTTTTCTTTTTTATTTTACGAGCATAGAACTGACGTAACTTTTAATATTGTTCAAGTATTACATCACTAGTACGTGACGAATAAATTACGATAACTAATGATGGATGAGAAGATCTCTAGGCGTTTTTTTTTTATAATCGAATCTATGTAAATAATGATACCGTACGTGTGACATTTATTTTCACGCCTATTAGAATAAAATGTATCGATAAAATAAAATGATATCTTCTCTAGTTCTTTCTTACGAGAACGATTAAGTATCATACAAGAAGAAACATATAATAAATATAATAACATATTTAGCTACCTATCTATCTACGAGTTCGACTGTTTCCCCTATTCTAACAAGAGAAAAAGAGAGAAATAAAGAGAGAGAAAGAGATGTTACATAAAGCAAAAGATATACGCACGTCGTTTCCCTTAGCTCGGTTAATTAAGCGCTCCCGATGCAATTACGAGTTAACATCCTTTCGAGAAAAACTGCCGTGAGCAGAAGCGTTGCCGAAGCGTGGACTAAACTCAATTAGAAGAGTATTCTCTTTCCAAAAGTTAAATAAAAAAAAGCAATAGAAAGAAAGATACAATGAATGAATGAATGAATGAATGAATGAACGAATAAACAGTAGAATACAAAGTTGACGTAGGTGAGATACGAGAGTGAAAATAACCTAACGGAATATAATAGAGGAAACGTATATAAAGAAAATTAGAAATAAAAATATAAAAATAAAAGCAAAATAAATTCTCTTACCTTGACTATGTTCACCAGCGTCGAAAGTTTTGCTCGTCATTTGGAACAGTGCGTCCAAAGGACTACCCTGGCCAGTACTTCTCTTTCCATTCTGTCCAGTTTGCGAGTTCCCGTGTTGCTGTGAACTCTTTTTCTTGAATTGCTGTTGCTGTTGTTGTTGCTGCTGTTGTAAAGCCGCAGCATGCAGTCCCGGATGAACGGCATGGTGTCGTGCCGCGTGGTGATGGTGGTGGTGATGGTGGTGGTGATGATGAGCGAGAGGATCGGGACTACCTGAATCGGAAACAGAACTTCTACCGGATGAGGACGAACTACTGAGAGGTGGTTCGCTTATTGTACTTGACATAGACGCCAATGACATGCCCATCAGAGACAATTCTCTGCTACTGGAATTTGTCGAATGATTGTGATGGTGTAAGTGATGATGATGGAGATGATGTTGAAGATGCTGTTGTTGTTGTTGCTGTTGTTGTTGTTGCTGTTGTTGCTGTTGCTGTTGATGATGATGAAGATGTTGACGATGACCAATCGTAGAATCAACCGTGTCCCAGGGTCTAACGATTTTCGCTTTAGGTCTGTGAGATAAAATATCGAGAATACTGAAAGATTTAACACCACGTTCATTGCTGTCCCGATCTCTATCCTCTTCCTCGTCTGAGTGTTGCATTTGAACCATTTGCAATCGTTTTAGTGGCTTAAAGTAATCGTCCGTAGCACCGGCTGTAGCCGAAGTACCGTTGCTACTAGTTCTACTCTCCAATTCCTCTTCGTCCTCTTCTAAATCCTCATCCTCTCTCAATGTCGTTACAGAATCACCACCACTACTCTCGTGAGTCCTTATCGAACTCCTTCCATTAGACGTTCTATAATCGCTATTCCTTGACGAATAATTGTCTTCACTGTCCATAGTCGAATCCGTTCGACTGTATCCTACTCTCCTAGGACTCAATCGTTCGACATAATCCTCCCTTGACGATATCAATCTATCCTCGCTTTCCGTCGAAGATGCAACTACTACCAACGGTAATGGACTTGGACAACCAACCGAAATTACGTCCTCATCATCCTGAACTTCACTACCTCGACACGGTGAACCTCTGCAAGGTGTCCGTCGGTGGCCGGGCGAGCCAACCAAACAGGCCGCCGTCGTCCCGCTGGAAGACACGGTCGTTGACGGTGACATCGTATATGATTCCGTCATCTCCGTCGTGCACATGATTTAACAATCCTTACTTTAATGTCTTTTTTCTTTTTTTTGGCTTTTTTCAAATGCTTATTCGTGTTTTATCTTTTCAAATTTCATCGACACAATACAACACAATTCTTGAAAAAAACACAGCACATCTAATAGTCCTCCTGTTCACGATAAATCCCCAACTCATGAATTCGCGATCGTTCCTGATCATTCGAGGAACGTTGCGCGATTTTAGTTCAAATTCTAAGTCTCATATCACGCACATTCTTCATATCATCCAAAAACACTATTAGTTTATCTTCATGTCATTGGTCAATTAAAAATACTTTCACTGATCACTTTTCACCGTTTCTCTTGTTGTTATTATCAACAAAACACGAAGATCAATTTTTGTGTTATCTTATTGACCTATCTCCAAACGTTCACACAGTTAATTCGTCTTTAAATCTCAATATCACCAAACTATCCTTACGATCATGAAAAGACGAAAAATAATAACCATAAAATATTATAAAACGTATCTTTAACGTAATATAATTTCTTCGTCGAAGATTCTTCGACTAGAAAGGTGTTAACAGCCGGCTCCTCCATGAATACAAACACGTGTACAGGTATACAATGTCTTCTTGAGAATCGTAACAATATACAACACAATAGACACTATTAGTAAATAATTAAACGATGAATTACACTTGTACGATATCGAATGATTATCGACGAACGACGATACACGAATTAAGATAAAAACAAACGAATGTTGTTAGATAAATGAGAAATAACGCGTTGTTCTATATATATTTCTCGTTGAAAGTGCAGAAAGTAGAAGAAACGGAGCCGCGGGTGTGTGTACTAGCGTGGGGCCGAGGCTCCTCTCAGGCCAGGCCAAAGCAGTGACTTGAAATGGTAAGGGGTCCGGGGATCCAGGGCCGCCGGTGTAGTTCGGTGTTGTAGGGGCTGGCTTTTCTCCCCCAACACGCCGCCTCAGCGGGTTTAACAATTCTCATAGGAGGGGAGAGCACGCAAGGAGCGGTAACTTCGGGTGCTGCACACAACACTTCTATCGGTGGGATGTACCTTACTCCTGGCATCAACGTTCATGGGCGGCACCAACCTTGTCCTGCCCACCTTTTGAACCCCTTCTTTCCTTCCTAACTTACTTCGTCAGCCTTAGCAAGCTCACGGCGACATTAACCCAACCGCTCGACCGTTCAAAACCTTTCTCGCTCTATCCTTATCTCTCTCTTACTTTTGCCATTTCTTTCTCTTTTCTTTTCGTTCGTTCGTTCGTTCGTTCGTTCGTATATTCGGTCCCTCTTCTTCTTCTTCTTCTTCTATATCACGCGACAGGCTAAAATGACGACGCTCCTGCCTTGGTGGAATTTTTACGAGACGTACTTAACATCCTCCTTGCAGTTATTCTGACGAAAGAGGACCAACCAACCCTATTTTTCTTTATTTTATTTTATCATTAAATCTATCGATTATAATATATTTCTTTTTGATATATTTTCTCTGATTGAAACTTTGATTAAATATAATTTGTAAATTTTTAACATTTAATCAAAGCTTATCCCTAAAGTTGATACTTAACAAAAGAAATAATAATATACTTTCAACCTAATCTAACGATTATAATAACAATTTCTTTATCATAATTTTTATAAATTATATTATCTTTCCAATATTTTCTGTGATAAAAACTTTAATTAAATATAACAAGAATAATTATAAATTTCCAATAATTATAAATACCAATTATATTATTTTCTCTATAACATTTTCAACAATAACAAATTATGTTAACAAGAAATATAAATATCTTATTTTCAAGATCGTTATAAAGAATCATCCTTAAAATATAAAAAACAAAACAAATTAAAAAACAGGAAATAAAATTACTAACTTTCCCATATAAAATTTCACAATCAACAAAAATAAAACCAAAATAAATCTTCATCTAAACTTCATTTAATTAAATTCTATTTTCAGTTAAAATTCCTTCTCAATATAAATATAATATTGACCACCATCTTAAATGTTATCTTCATTCAAGTGTTAAATCACTCGGTCTTCTTAGGATTCGTATCCTGTGTTCGATTGCCCGCGACCCATCAATTGCATCGGTCGTTTACGTTCCTACCAACCGATTGGTTCTTTGTAACACGGAAAGGAGCCACTGATCACGATCGAGTACTTCCGAGAAAGCCAATGTCGACGAATCGTGGTCAATAAGAACATGGTGGAAGAACAAGAAAAAGATCTAGAATACCAAGATGACCAAGAAGAAGAAGAGGAAGAAGAAGAAGATAAGGCCAAAAGAGGAAAGGAAAAATGATCATCACACGAAAGGATCACTCGTCCGTGGCAACAACGTTAGGAAGATATCTCAAGATTGTTATATTATACAGACTATTACCTACGATCCTTAGGGGCCTTATCCTATATACATTCACATTCTTCTATCATTTACACATACATACATACACACATGTATACACATATAAGCATTATCTTCAGCGAGAATCGATTTAACCGTGTAATTGTAGCAATCTCGTCGACAACGAGCTATGTTCAGGTCACTCAAAAATATTTTCTATATCTAATCTCTTTATTTTTTGTTCTATTTAACCTATCCTTTAAGTTGCTGTCTTATTTTCTATCCAAGACACTGATCTCTCTCTCTCTCTCTCTCTCTCTCTCTCTCTCTTTTACAAGATCCAAGCACAAATGTCTACCTCTTTCTTTCAGTTTCCGCGTATTTCGCAGGATATCCCATAGAAGACAGAATTTTCTGACCCTATGCGGTTAGAATACGTGACGGGAAGAAAAAGAAGAAGAAACGAAAACCCTCCAGCAACTGTTATCTTATTTTTCTCTTCTTATTCTAACCGACTCGAAATATTCTAAAGATTTAAGGGGCTGAAATAGTTTCCTTCGAAGTTTCTATCTTCGATCTTTGAACGTTCCTTTTTTATTCCTTGTTTACTTGAGAGAAAACATACATAAAAAAAAGGTAAAAGAAAAAGAGGAAGAAGAAATAATCGGAAATAGTTTCTTCGAGAGGAAAAAACACTCGAAATATGTATTTAGGCAAAGATCTTTTCACAAATTTTATTACTCTTCGTCATTTTTACAATACCAGTAAAGTAAAGCGTCCGTCGGATTCGTTAGGTTATTGTCGTGCATGTGAAAAAGACAAAAACAGATTTATATGTCTTCCAGTGTTCCGAGAACATAGTTTTCTCTTTTTTCTATTGCCTCAAATCGAGAAAAATATCGTCTGGACCATAATAAAAACGGCACCGGACACCACCTGGCAGAAATGTTACATACGAGAATGGGCTAGAAAATAAAAGGAAAAAGAGGAAGAAGAAGAAATAAGAAAAACCAAACGACAAAGATAAAGAAAATGAAAAAAATGAATAAGAATAAGATAAAAGAGAGAGAGAGAGAAAAGAAAAATGTAAAAAAGGGAAGAAGCTATCTTTCCTTGTCCTCACTATGGATTTAGTTTTAAAACCCCTTGGCTCAGTGATTGCGTGCTCACGTCGTTCCAACCGAAATCAGTAAAATCTTTTTAGAGTCCTCTTAGCTTCAATTTAGCGAGAAAGCGAACAACAGAGAATGAAACGTTAAAAAGATAGAAAAAGTAAAGAGAAAGATAAAAGTTCTCAACACTATGAAACAACATAAGAAGAATAAGAGACAAGCAGCAACCCAACCGCTCTCGTAGTAAGGTAAGTTGGAAGAAGATCTGACCGAGTGTAGTCGTCCCAAGATCCTTCTTCTTCTTCTTCTTCTTCTTCTTCTTCTTCTTTTTCTTCTTCTTCTTCTTCTTCTTCTTCTTCTTCTTCTTCTTCTTCTTCTTCTTTTTCTTCTTCTTCTTCCTTTCTACCATCCTTTTCTACATCAACACCACCACCACCACTACCAGAACCAGCACCAAAACCTTTTTCTTCCTTCTTCTCGACCTTCCCGTCGGCTTTTCTATCCCGATACAAAGAGGCGCGAGCGAGCCTAATTATTATGATAGCTCGCCACTGGATTCTGTCGGTCCCTTTGATCTGCCGCCGTTTAGCATGATCCCCCGATATTTAGGTAGGCCCCGTTGTCCCTCTTCCAACGCTGCCACTCGCTCTTCTCTTCTCTTCTCTTCTCTTCTTTTCTCTTCTCTTCTCTTCTTTTCTCTTCTCCTCTCTTCTTTTCTCTTCTCCTCTCTTCTTTTCTCTTTTCCTCTCTTCTTTTATCTTCTTTTCTCTTTTCTTCTCTTCTCTTCTGACCAATATAGTGGAGGGGAGTACAATCTTCTTCACTCTCTTTGCTGTTCACTCAACATGCTGCTGTTACTGCTGCTGCTGCTGCCGCTGCTGTTAGAAGTACTGGTGGGGGAAGAAAGTAAAAGAGTGGGGATGAAGCACGAGGGCGGATCGTACAGAGTAGTGTATACCATCGTTGGTGGGACGAGGTGGGTCCATGATATAAACCATTCATCAATGAGTATTTTTTCGGGAAATTTACACGTTCCTATCCTTTTCCTCTCTCTCTCTCTCTTTCTCTTTCTTTTTATTTTTCTTTCATTCTTTCTCTTTAGGTATATATACAAAGTTCATCTTTCTTTATCCCTTACCTCCCTTCTTTTTCTTCTTCGACAAGTAGGAGGAGAAGAAGATAGAGGACCACACGTGAACACCCAGGTAACGCTCCGCCGAGCTATTAGTCTCGGGATAACCGGAGATCGAATTTTTAATTGATTATTTGATATATCTCACGGCGATCGGTTGATTCACATCCTCGTAACATCGTCCTAATCCTAGTCTCGTAATCTTCTTCGATTAGCTAGCTTTCGGGATTCTGAGAGACAGAAAAAAAAGATTAGACATTTTCTAAAGGTATAACCCACTTTCTTGTCTGTCTAATAGTATTTACTACTCTGCTCGTTGATACTATTACTTATGTCAGAATTTGGACATGACTACTACTACTAATACTAAATTGAGTATCTTTAAAATTCTTTCACGTTA